TACGTACAGGCATATCATAGTGCGTATGTTGACGGATTAAGAATACGGATTGCCACCACCCCCATTCATCCCGTGGGCGTCGTAAGAGCCGACTAAGGGAGCAACAAACAAAGAGAGGCCTATGTCCAGCAATGGACTGATGATGATAATGAAGTTATATCATTGCCAGAGCACGATATAATAATATAATAATTCATTTATTTCATCAAGTAACCAGGACTTACACTAAAATTATTATTAACATTATTTCAAGGTGTACAATTTTTTTTATTGTTTTTTGCAAGTATTCATATAGTATATATGGGTCACCGCTGTGCAATCCCGCCAGAGACAGCACATCAGCGACTCACATACGTACAATCCAGCCTACTCGATATCATGCGTGGTATGCTATTAGTGCTGGCTCGAACCATGTGCACCAGGGATGCATACCTCTCCAGCATCATCAAGCAGTCTACGTGTGCGTCCGCAAACATCCCCGATGCGCTACAGAATTGAGACAGCATCCTGAACGCATTTTCATATTGTACTCTGAGGACGTTGTACGATTTTTGAAAGAATCTATCTATCGCTTCTTATCTATCTCGATATATCTTTATCGCTTTTTGTGATGACACCGCCAATTGTGCATTTCATAAATAAAAATTATAACATTTATGTTTTTGGCGTACAACAAAGAGTACCAATTTAACACGCGGTGCGATTGACCCAATAAGCCATCTGGTTGATTTCATAAAAGTTTTCGTCCGTTCCTTTCAAATGCAGATTTCTTCCGAGTAATATCAACGGATTAGATAAAATTACATTTTCATCCCTAAACCTTTGAGTAATTAGAGGAAAGAACAGAGTTCTGAAAAGAGTATTAGCTTAGGTAATATTAACAATCCCAAATGAATATTTAACTCACTTTAGCTTTGATTAACAGAAAAAAATCATTAAATCCAATAAATATAAAAACAAATTTATAATTAATACGATCATTATATGAATATCATTAATAGTGTTAAACTGATTTAAGTTATAATTCAATTAATTAACACTGGTATCCCTCACACCTGATTACTTTAAAAATGTTTCCACGAAATGTGGTGTAGTGTTAATGTTAATGTGCTAATTGACAATTAATTAAATAACTTCATTGCGGCCAGTTGTTGTCTCAGTTTAAGTGGCCTGACCAGTCACAGGACAGACATGGCCCAGGGTCTCCCTGGGCCTCTTCGGTCTACTGTGATGATGATTTAAAATACAATGTCCTTGGAGTTTCTAATCAAACCTTTACATAGTATAAAATGAAGTTGGTTCCCGTTCCTTTACACTTAGATTTTTTAATGACGCAACGGATTTTAATGCGGTTTTCATCAATAGAGAGAGTGATCCAAGAGAAAGATTTATGGGTATAACAGGTGCATATTATATAGAGGGGCAAATGGGAGAAGCTAAATGTGATGTCGTAAATTATAATAATTATTATCATTGTAACTGAACCATTTAAACACTTAATCTTATGTAATTTTAGAGATTATATTATTATGCATGCTGTATTTATCTGTTATTAGTTATGCAATTAGTTTAAGCTTATTATTTGTGTGAATCAAACAAATAAATAAATAAAAAAACATGTTTTTGTACTCTGACATTACAAACGCTGGCTAAACCTTACGAGATAGATAAAATAACGTACTACAGAATTGTACATCTTGAAAAGAACTATAAAAAAGTCCTCGTTGGCATATGTATCTCTCCTAAGGATAACCCATAGTAACCATTTTTATCTACATTTTACAAAAAAAGAGCTATTTACGAAGCTGTTTTGAACAATACAGTATTATTCCTAATCTTATTAAACGAGTTAGATACGTTGCAAAATTTAATATTGATTAAAACAGCATATCATTAAAATTATATTTTGGAAGATATCAGAGATTTATAATGCGAGGGCAGAGGTGTCCGTCCCAGGTGGCACCGGCCGCCAGGCGCGGAGCGTGCCAATATACGTATGTTATTATATAAAGATATCCTACAGTTTAGTCTAGTCATCATAATTATAATATAACTTATAATATTACTCCACACTAAAACAACGTTAGTATCTACATTGGGCAGGTCGCTAGTAAAGTACAAAATGAAATAAGTATTAATAGTGTTCACGGTACAATTAACGGTTAAGTTCTAACTAAAATCATTCTTTAATCATCTAAGCCTAGACTGTCTGTATTCTATATAAGCAAAAATGTATGCTTGTCCTGTATGCTGCCTAAACCATTAGTCAAATTGTGGTGAAGCTTTGGTAGGATCTTCTGAGGACGCAAAGTAGATAACTATCTTTAAACTATATAAAAGTAAATGAATGTGATATGTTTTTTGTTTTTCTTTTCTTCTTTGTTGAAAAAGTTTTGGATAATTGAATGTTTTTCTAAATTTTATACGCTGATGATGCAAAACATGACAAGTGCCTACGGCTAATCAAATACCTATAAAAATGTCTCAATAATTTCTAGATCTAAGATTTAACCAGCACCTTGCAACCGCTTGTGGTGGTGGTGTGGTGGACGAGGTGAATGGCATGAAACGCCTTCAACTAAGGTAAATTTGTGTGTTATGTTTTATTGGAAAGAAAGAGAAGAAGGAAACAGCCGCATTATCCGCCTGCTGGTATACGCGTACCTTTTTTTTTTTTTTTTTTTTTTTTTTTCCCTGCGGAAATCCCCTCGGATACCACCTGTCGGTGGCATGTCGGACCCGAACCGACTAAAACCGTACTAATAGCCGGGGAACCAGGTATACCCTAGAAAGGAAGGCCCTGGTGCCCCGACATACCTCGGGTCATCTACAGACGAGTAGACGACCCCCGCCCCTTGTGGGAACCCCATGTTCCCTGTGCTCACTGGAAGCGAGCGCGCTTCGCAACGCGCTCGCCGCCACCCCGGCCTGCTTCTGCTAGGGTGACAGATGGCCTCACCTGTCACCCCCAGGCCTGCGCTTATGGAGGACGGAGGTCGTTCTGCGACCTCCGGCGCCTGAGTCGCCTGCGCTGCCTGGCCCGTGCCCGGGCCTGGCGGGCCGGGAGAGTTCTAAACCTCTCCCGGTCCCGCTCCGCCGTCTCCTTCGCGAGCATAACTTGCTCGCAGAAGGAGACGGCAGAGTTCCACGCACTCTCGCTCCGCACGATAGCCGCAATCAGGCTATCGAGCGAGAGAACTCCCACTCCGATGGCCGCCACGAGGTCTCGCCTCTGCTCAACCCACGCAGGGCACTCTGCCAGCGTGTGGAGATCCGTGTCCACGGTCTGGCCATCGCAGTGGTGGCACTCAGGCGTTGGCTCCTTGCGGATCAGACACAGGTGATCTCCGAAACATCCCTTCCCAGTGATCACCTGCGTCAATCGGTATGAGAGGGTCCCGTGATGCCTCTCGAGCCAATCCTCCATAACGGGTCTTACCACCGCAATGACGGCGTGCCCAGTCACGCGTACCTATAAACCAGAAGCCTTGATTCAACAACTGTATCAGCAGCACGTCGCCAATGCGAACCATTTCAATGAGATTGAAATGGTTCGCATGACCCAATTCTACTCATGAGGAAATACAAGCAATTTGAAAAGTTAGTTGTAGTAACGATAAAAAAGATAGAGAAAGAATAATAGAATAACGAAGGTAACCTAACTCTGATCATCTTTTCTCATCTAAAAGTTTTGATTCTGCAATCACTTGCTCAGGTAGATACTAACTAACTTCGATATTCACATACTAAAGACATATGTTACAGGATCTACCTTATTTAGAATCAAACCCCTGTCATGTGTCTCAAAGTTATATAATTTTATGATTTGTTGAAACAATGACTTTAATGAATGGTGGTCAAGGTTATGCTCATAGGAGTCATAGTTATCAAGTGTGTGTTTGGACCCTTACAGAAGCCCAAATAGTATCAGCTGACACGTCCGTGTTTTCAAAACACTCTTCTAAAATACAAACGCAATTAAAACCTTTGTGCCGAATATAAAACTGCGTCAAGATTTGAACTGTCTTTGTAGCACAAGTGCATAAGTGGTAAACGTATGCGCTGCAGAGATCATTAGGTAATAGGTAAGACTCCGTTATTAGCTCCCAAGACTACAGAACTTTCTGCCATGAACGCACATACATACACTGCAATGTCAAAGCAATCGTCAAAACCCATTAAGTTTAGGCCTAAGAATACCGTTTCCTTTGAATTCCGTAAGTCAGATGCCATTATCAGCGGAAATGTTCATTTAAACAACTTAGGTACAAAATAAACTCGCGGCACAAGTACCGTTGTTAAAGTTAGCCTACTTAAGTAAACAGTTAGGTACTTTATTTTTATTGGAAATTGTTTGGAAAACTTAAATATTAAGGTCTCTCGTTTTAGACTAAAATTTAAGTTAGCAAGTTAGAAGCAGAAGCAAATTAGACTTCAAATGTCAGTTTCTTAAAAGTATTTTAACATAAACTTACTGCTGGTGTGTTCGGGGTGTTCGGGTTCAAATTTCAAAATGCACAGGGAGTTTTTAGTTTCAAAGACATAAGTGGGCTAATTTTCTTGCAGTGAGCACGGCTCTTAAAGGCCTGCTTCGCGTCATTGTCTTGAGTGCGTGGCGAGAGAACCCCCGACTCTCGACAGACAAGACAACCCACGACAATTGACTCCACCTCACCGCCTGATGTATGTTCAGCGAAGCATTTTCCGGAACTGTTTACTATTAACGCTTCTGTTTTCATTCGCTACATTTTTGTTTTAAAATCCGGTAATGAGTCATTCTTTATTCTTGGAGTCCTTTCGGGAAACTTCACAAAGCGTTATTTATTCCGTTGTATGTTTATTAAAAAAAAATGATCACCGTTCAAACCGAGCAGAACCTGACGAAACCAGAACTCAAGTTTAGCCTTAGTTAGTTCAACTTTATTGCCAAAAAATATGATCATCGGTCACCGTTTCAAATATTATTCTGATTGCAGTCGGCGTCATCGCAAACTGTAATAATGCAAAGTGAAATACTACGTAGGTACCTAAGGGTCGTGTGTGAGGAGCCGGTACCGTCGTGGGTGCAGGCAGCGGGGACCGGCGCGGCGCCGGCGGAGCGCTGCGAGCACGCGTGTGGGGTTGGGCGCGCGCCCGTTCCGCCACAGACACTCTCCGGCACTGTTGTTGTGCAGGTACAGGTGCAGGGCGCGGGGGGCGGTCGCCGGGCACGTGGCGAGGCCGGTGCGGCGCGGAGCAAGCGGGCGGCTCCTCGACAGCCGCGCGCGCCGCGCACTGCCGCGCTCCGCCGCCGACGCGCTATCGACGCCCGCCCGCGCCCGCCCGCCCAGCACACCACTCATCACTCGTACGTGTGCATCTCCTAACATCACACTTACTATATCACCATTTTATCATTTCTTTTAACGCAACATATGTATGTTACTCTCGACGTTTGTAAAACTTGTAACCGGCCCGAACTCAATTAAGAAAACGATAAATTTCATAATTTAATGCCTTAGGTTTTACATATTATACATACTTATAAAAGACTTTGTAAAAATTATGTGCGTCGTCTCTATCGTGACCGACAGCACAATAAATAGTCCCCAGATATCTATTGATACTCTTTAGCATGTAATATAGTAATATCCTAACCGTGTCATACGCATAAGGACAAACGTGTCTGTGGCGTGGTTAATGGAGGATCGATGGCATTAGATATAATAAGCACAAAAACGAATAGTATCTGAGCATCAGTAGGTCGGGCGGAGCGACGTCGGCCGCTTCCTTGTGGAGGAAGCGCGTCGAGCCACCTCGAATTGAGGTCAACCTCCAATCGGTTGCCATAAAGTGACCTAACATCGCATACACTATACTGAAATCGTTCCCAACTTTATCACTTAAGCCTTCTACCGCAATTTTAACAACAATCCTGAAGTAAACTAAGGTTTATACAATCGCTGTGTATCTCTCATACACACATCTCTCAGACACATCCTGCAAATATTTTACACGCCAAAAGTCTTTAAACAGCAAAGACGATGATAAAAGCTGCGATAAAAAACGTCGTCTGAACATAATTATGTACATATATCGTATCTAGTTAAGGCGGCACCGACTCAAATTATGTTAATGTTTTATAAACATTCACATAAAATGAATATGTTGTGCTTTTTGCTTTAAAGAAGGACTTTAGACATGTTACAAGACCGTCCTGTCGTAAAGGTAGTCTGACTATATCTATATTTGCCTAATTATTATTGGCTTTACTAGACCTAGTGCTTAATAATTCTGACTACTACGCCAGAGTTCGTTTATTCAATTCATTCATATATTTGTATTTAGAAATATATAAGTACCTACTAGATTTTGCCCGTGGCTCCGCCCGCGTGTGTGTCGGTTATCTCGGGAAAAATTAGCCCATGTTACTGGCCGTTAAAGAATTTTCAAAATCGGTTTAGTAGTTAAGGCGTGTAAGCGTAACAAACACTTTCACATTTCTAATATAAGTATGGATGTCTATTAGCAGTCCGGTTAACAAAGCTCTACATAATTAGAGATCAGAGAGCCGATTGTGAGATCTGTCAAATTATTAAATAACTTGGAATTATGTTAATTTAAACTGTTTGTCGTAGCCGGATTTAATGTAGATATTTTATTGAACAAAACATACGACGTTGACCAGTTGATGAGCAGTTAATATGTATAGATAGTTTTATAGTTTGAATGGTTCAAATACAGACGCCACACCAGCATTGTTTGGCACCCATAGATAAATGAACGACTACCCAATAAGCAGTTAATAGTACAATACGGTAGTTTGACAGAACGAAGTTAAATCGTACACACAACGCTCAATGAATCTACGTGCAAGGCTTATAAAGAGTTTTACGAGTATATTGTGCGCAATCCCTTGAGCCCACCGTGTCGGAGGAGAAGCATTTAATGTTGCCAATTCATGGCTCGCAATAAAAGAAAATGTAATGGCTAGAGGAAATCTACATTTTTCTCTTAAACCTGAATGAGTTAACGTGTCTCGTGTGTTTAATTTTACTTAACTACTAACCTAGAACACAAATATGTAATTAAATTAAAATTATTTTATGACCAACACTACCAAGCCCCAAGACTCAAAGCCCCAGAACACTACAGCACCGCTACCCAAAACCCTATCACCACAACAGTGAGATCTTTGAACTGTTAAAATCACTTACCTAAAGAAAAAGCTAACTTTAATTAGTTTGTTGGAAATTGTTGAGCTTGTAATTAATTTGAATTTTGCTCTCAAGATTTTTACGCGTTTAAAACACGGATGATTTAACAAGATTACTCTTGTTTTCTTTTTTTGGCAGAGAAGAGAGAACTTTGAGTAACTTTCAGTACCTTATTGCTTTTATTAGTCGCGTTTTATGATATGACGTTTTATAGGACGTTAGCTCGGCCAAACAAAGTAGAGGCCAAATACGCTACGTCATTGAGATTTTTACGGCTATATTTCGATGTACTGTGTGTACTCTACACTACACTACTCCTGATTGGTGAACGAGTTGCAGCAAGTCACAAATCTCTTAATGTTTTACTGGAAGAATGAGTTTATAAAACTAACTTGGAAAAGTATCCTTCTGACGCTAAGTGGTTACTGTCTTCTGCCATCGCCAAAGCGTTTAGTGTTTCTGATGTCGACTAACACTGCAGGTGAAACAGAAATACACCTTGCTACCTTATCGCAGTTGTTGTAGATTCCAGGTGCGACTGCGGGCTACGACTGCGGGTTACTGTAGACCTAGTAGAAGTCTGCTAAGTCTTTATGCGATTATACATAGTTGCAGTAACAAACACATAATCGAGTCAAAAGATAGCTTCTTTCGAGGAAAATGTAACACTTTAACTTCAGGCGCAAACTTCTCCAAAATAAATTAGCCATTTCCAACAGACATTTGTCTTCTTTAAAAGCGACACTGTCTAGAAAGCCTTTGAAATAACTCGTTGTTACAGCTTATACCAAGGAACACATATAGCTTAAATAGAAAAGTGGCGTCCAAAAGGTTAAGGCAATGACTAGCGCCCGCCACTTCCCCACCTCCATCAGCCATGTTCCAGTAGACAGCAAGGACGGAGATGAATGGACGCTCTTGAAAATTGCATTTTCTATTCAATGTAAACTGTCGACCAATTTATATGAAATAAAACGCACGACCCAAACTCGCGATTGGCCTCTCGATTTTATTAAATCAATTACTTTGACGGCTTTTTTATGACATCGTTAACATGTATAGATAGACGAGAAAAATAAAGACTTGCCGCACATTAAATAGTAAAATATTGTTCGTGTGCGGTTTTTGTGTTTGCGGCCAAATAGATACTTGTGTACATCATATAATTCCATTGTGAATAAAGCTACTTTGCATAAATACCTATAAATACTGTAAAGAGATAAGTGAGAAGTGATATATGAATAAGGCAAGAAAAGGTTGTAGTAAATTCACGTGTTTTTTGACACAACCGCTGCCTTCGCGCACTTTCTATGAGATGCATATAAAGTTATCTTTGGGTACGGTAGTGCCCCCGCCAAACAAAGTAGGAAAAAAACAAAAGAGCAACAGTACCATCCCTTCTATCATAAGTAATTCAGTACATTTCATATCCCTGTAACTTCCCTGTGTACAACATTATTCTAGATTTTTTTGCACAATTTCCAGAAAAATTATGTTTCTGTTCATATTTCCAATACATCTTGATGAATAATTAATAAACTTTTATCGTATAAATTGTAGAAAGGTATCTCCTAGTCACGATTTATTCAAATTGAATTTAGTTGTAAATGTATCTCTGAAGAAGGAACTATCAAACAACAAATATTCTCTATTCAAAGGATAAAATTAATTGCAACAATAAAACTAACGGCTACTCAGAAATAATAAGATAATCTTGGCTACAACGAAGGCGGCTCATAATCCCGTGCCAGCTCCCCCGCCTGTAATTACAACTGTCCTATAGCAAGAGTATATCGTAACTCGAAAGATGAATGAAGCTTTCATCGTCGAGTACACCCGACTCGGCCACAAATAGCGGGCGGCTGGGCGTGACTAATCACACGTTTGAAACACTTCGCCACGTCTAATAAACTCTATTCGTTTACTGTTGTTGTGACATGTTCTGTGCAACTGTGAGGGTTCTGCGATTTGCTCGGTGCACTATAATGGCTGACATGCTCAAGGCGACGTTACCACTAGCTCGACTGTTAAGGATATTATCGTGGACGGTCGTGGGCAAGCCCTTATTACCACAGTAGGACAAAATTATGTTCGGAAAAACGAGGAGTGTTCAATAGGGTTCTGCTTACCCTTTAGGGAATAATAAAAAAAGGTGGGTCATTGCACGGAAGGAGCGTATTTTCAGTACAAAAGAGCCAGGCTTTTAAAAAGATAAGAAACAATAACTATTTCTACGTCGTTTGAAGATTGTGATCCTTTTTCTGCCAAGCTTTATGTAAAAACCCTAACTGAATTAAAATGCTATAAGGCACGATTACTCCGCACCCCTTAAATTTATTCATATAGAACATAGATACACAAACGTTCGAGAAAGAGGACTAAATTACATCACTTATGATACTTTTCTACATTACTTTACAAGATAAGATTAGTAAAGAAATCGTGTACCGTGAAATAAGCTTACTTGGAGTTTCCTCCGCATGTCTATTTCAGATAAAACGTTAAAATGTTAAGCAAATAAAGTTTATGTCGCAGAAAGCCTTGTTCCTCTACAAGTGTGTCTCCAAGCCGCAAAATATTTTTAAAACACAACAACAAAAAACATTGGTGTTGATATATTTCGTTGTAATTAAACAGAGTAGCTTGAACAACAAAATAATTGATTTCAAGTATAATATTCTAATTACTCTGCACGAACTCAATTATTAATCGATAATGTTCTAATGGATGTGCGTAAGATTTCGCCTCGAGCATTAACACCGCCATTTCTAAGGCAAATACATGGCTATACACAATAAATATTTAATCGTTTAGAAAAATATGTAATTATTTCTTTCAGAATAAAGCAATCAGATAATTTTCCATTGTTAGCGTACGGTGACGGCACGTAAGTAGTACCAGCATGGAGGACGATCTGTTTCTGGCGATGCGACGATATGACGGCATGGGGTAGCTGTGAGCCGTCTGCCGTCGGCCGGCAGCGTGACGTATGCTTTACATTAATAAGGGCGGTGTGTGGGACGTATGGGAGCCGCGAGGCCTCCCACCGCGACGCACAAATGACAAACTTATTCCCTCTTTTACAAGTGGAACTAGTTAACTGAAAGAAAAACATGAGTAAACGAACCGCGCTCCACATTTACTTTGTAAGAAAACCTAGAAATTATTAACTACATTGATTTCAGTTAATGGTTTTGTTAGCTTTACACTAATATTCATCGCTATTGAAATCAAGTTTCTTTTAAAAATTGTTTCTTATAACCCAAATAGATCGTAAACTTTTGCACTAATCCAACAAAGTTCTCGTAAAAGAAGAAGTAAAGAATACGAATACTACATCCAGGTATAATTAGCACAACAGAATGTAAGAATTAAGGACCAGTCGATTCCCCCTAAGAGACGTTTTAAATCTATTCTGTGCTGTAAACCACTATTCATACTAGTACTAGAATATGTAGATGATATGTCTGTATGCCTTTTATCGATATATTTTGGGCAACGGCATAATTTGTAGCAGTGCAGAGGCTTTTGGCAGGTTATTCTTTGATAGGCCGCATGCCTGCCCTCCTTGGGTATCTTATCTAAATCAAAAATTAATATATTCTACCACATAACAGTGTATAACACACTACAGTAAAACACACAACCCAACAGTACCCAACAGTACGCCGAGCTTGTTTCTTAGTTTTACCTAAACCTAGAACAAATTATGATGACAAATGCTGACATATGAAGGGGCACAGCTACACAATACGCTACCATCGCTCATTAAAATGTAAACTCATTTAATGTATTCAAATCTCGATTAGCTCAATATCTACGTACGAGTACATTATTCACACAACTTGTCCTCGGGCAAATAACCTATTCTATCTATCCATACTGTTATTTTTTGAGTGAAATGACGAACCTGTATAATACTTGAAGTTAATATTGTTCTCAAGTAAATAGTAATAATATTCTACCACATTCACACACCGCCATCCAGTCCCAAACTAAGCAGAGCTTGTACTATGGCTACTAGACAACTGACATAAATACATATTTACTTTTTTTGTAAATACTTTCTTACTATACATAGAAACACCCAGACCAAATCAAACATTAAATGTTCATCACACACAAATGTTTAACTTGAATAGCAGTCCGTTACACAAACCACTACGCCATCCGGTCGTCAGACTATATTTTTTTTTTATTTCTTTTTTATATCTAACAGTTTATATCTCTTTGTTTCAATATTTTTTAGTTTAGAAACCGTTGTCATTAACTAGTAGAATACGAGCTAGCTCAGACCGATGCGCGATGTCGCCGCTTCCCTGGATTCTTTGCCAATTTTATTTCGATCTGTTTAACTATTCAATAGTGAGCTAGTTACGAACAAAACTCAGTTCCCATAATTAGTCCGTAATTTATAAAGTCAATGTATATTTAAAATGTTATGAAGCCTGAACTTATCAGATTAAGTAAAACATTTGCTTAAGATTTCACTGTTCATAATTTGTGTGCAAAAAATCTTTTAATATTAGGTTAGAATGTTTAATAGCATTAAGTCCCTGCAATTTTTTTTAACCTCCTTTCTAAGGAGAGGCCTTTGTCCACCAGTGGACTATTAAACACTGTTGATGAAGTTGTTTAGGTGAAAATTATATTGCTGTGTAACTCACTCATCTGCCGAGCCTTTTCGTAAATTAGGTTGGGATCGGCTTTCTATCTATTATGACACGGCTGATCTTTGATTCACGACAACGCACTGCCATCAGAGCCCCACAACCCAGGTACTAGGCGATATCGAAGTTCTGTAGAAAGACTGTTGTCGTCAAACCGGCAACCGTCAAAGATGGCTTGATGTGCTCTCCGAGGCACGGAGGGGTCTGACTGTGTTATGAATGGTCACCCATCCATAGAATGAAATGGATAGGATTGCTTAACGTTGCACTTACTCGGTTACCGCTTAGCCACGAACCCCTGATGCATGATACATACACTTAGAGGCAAACTAAACCTTGCTTTGTGCTGATGTGAAATAATACACTCTAAATTCAGTTTTAGATATCATTAATAGGTATAATTTGTAAATCGTTGAATGAATCATTCTTTAGCTAACTTATATAAAATTACTTCAAAAAAAGAAACCATATTTTGCCAAAGTTTGGTTTCTATGCAACCGATTTGTATGCGAATGTTTTGTAAAAACGTGTATTGACCCGGTTCGTATGGTATGGAGGTAATTGTACAGTGAATAGGTGGAATATTTAACTCCGCGTCGTACTGCCGTCGATGTCGGTGGCTACACATCCAATACCGTCGCTATACGGGTATACATTGTCAGGTAGTACCAAGGTGAAGTAAAACATTGTTGAGTTTGTTCACAAAACTTCATCAATATTGAAAGATTCGAAGGCAATCAATTTACGTGACACCCGGCCCCGAACAAAGCCAGCTCGATATTCGATACCATCAAAATAAGTGTGCGTATTTGTTCTCAACAAAGTTTAAGCGAATCTGTTCGAAATAAGAAACGGCCGTGTCCCAAACGGGCGCGCTGTCGTGTTAACACAACTTCGGATAAATTGTGTTGGAAGTTAGATGTTATCGTGATGGTGTTTCCTAGGAACTGGTGGTGGCGTACCGCGGGGCTGCAGGCCGTGAGTCGCGCGGCGCGGGGCGCGGTGCAGTGTTCTGTTGACCTACTTCGGCGACGTTAATCGTATCACGTGAAAAAGCTTGCGTGTCCCGGTCGTTGACCCGCACCACCGGCCCTTCAACCCACCGCTCAGAAACCTCTCAATGGCCTCCGCTTGCCGACCATCCTGTCGCTTAAGTATAAATGAACCTATTCGTTGACGCAGTTCCTCTCGCAAGACGGACGGCATCAGTCAAACCCACAAACCCATTATACAGGAACACGTGCTACACAAAGCGGATTGACAATGAGATATTACAATATTCACATCGTGTGCTCAGGGACGTGTGTACTCATCGGCTTTCTAGTACATTTCAATTACACAAATTCGTTTTTATGTATTATTTGATGTATTAACTATAAAGCTGCTCAGATGGAATGACGCATATTAAAAATACTTGAAGAAACACATGAGAATAGTTTGGTTGTCGGCGTACTGTAAACAGGTGAGGTCATAATAATAAACAACGTGAAATTACTAATATTACGGATGATTTATAGCCACGCTTCGCTTCCTAGCCGTGGAGACGGCGCGCTGCGGGCGGCGCCGCGCAGTCACCGACTCGACGCCGCGACCACCGACTGGTATCACTCCGGTGCCTGCTGAACACTTTGTAGTAGGTTGTAACTGAACAGTCGCCATGTGCGCTCGGTTCTGTAACACTCCGCTAATAGATGATTGCTTCATGTCTTCGAACCTACATAAACTGTAATCAAAAGCAGCGTCTCAATGTTTAGTTTAGTTCGTCGTCACAACAAAACTGTTCTCTTTGGACATTCCAAATATCGTGCGATAGGAAATGATCTCATTATTAGTAGACCTGTCTCTCTCTAACGTTAAGATCTAATATTTTTATTTTATCATACACAAAATTGTGTAACTTGTTCTCTGATTTCTCGATTCCGTTCGGCTATTCTATACATTTATCATTTAGCTAGCACGTGGTCAATTAATGTAAACATTATAGACATATGTATGTACAGGGTGTAAGGGACATCGTAACGAATAATAAAATACTATATTCAGACCATGATACTGTGTCGAAAATCATTGGAATTTTCTGCCGCAAAATTCATCATTTTATAATTCCCATTTACCTACGGGGAATGACCTTTACCTTTCGACAGCTGATTACATTAAAAGTTTAATTTTTCGGCAGTAAATTCCAATGATTTTAGACTCAGAATGATGGTCTGAATACACTATTTCAGTATTCGTTACGGTGTCCCTTACACGTTGTATAAATTGTTTTGTATTGGAATGGCAAAATGCATGTATTACTACTACTTACTATATACACAGCTGTAAGTCCTATAGAACCAGAAGCTCTTAAAACTTGTGTACGTTTATTGCCCCAATAACTCTGCTAGTGTATTACGACTTACTTACAAGTAGTAGTGGCCCAGTCTCGGACAGAAGCGCGCAGCGCAGGTGAGGGCCACTAAAACTGACATTACGGGCTGGAACGACAGATCTTTACTTCGTTTTTAGAACTAACGTAAAATCTTAATCTATTAACACACAAACACTGAGTATATAGGGACTAGCTTTGAGAAGAACTTTAATAGGTAAAAAATTTATTTATTTTTATGTATTTTCATATTTCAAAAACCAGATTTTTTGATTTTGATTTTTTTTGATTGTATTTTTTAGGTTTTTTTTTCTTTAGATCTTCGTCACATATCAAGCAAATTATTATTTTTATTTGGTAGGGTATAGGTACTTCTCTGGCCGACCTTGGCACCGTTTAAAATTCAGGAAATAAAACAGGAACATTTAGAAATGATGAATTTCTAAAAGTTCTTCATTCATCTGGTATTATTACAATTAATCATGGTTTAGGCGTATTGAAATCGATGAAATTTTTATAAAAGTAAATTTCATCTCATATACTTTTAAGCCGTAATTACAGTGTAAGAGATTTCACTTAAGAGTCAACTATTAATTTTACGAGCCAGCTGTCTATCTACGAGTAACTTTTAAAACTTTAGCGCTCCATACTATGTAGACGGGAGCACCTACTACTGAATTGCCTGACGTTTCGACATGAATTGTACTGATTTAATTTTAAAATCAGAATATTGAAAAGATAATAAAAAAATTATACATAATCATAATTATGACATTTAATTTATAAACTAATCACTAAAATATCAAGAAATAAATTTAAATTTATATCGTATCGTCGCGAAATCGACTGTAACAAATACACGTACATGTAGCCAATTAAAATTAAGACTTCCACGGTGTACCTATACAAATTGGTCGTTTATTAAATCTGCCAAAAAAAAACATTGATTTAATGACGTAAATAATGTTTAATTAACAAATAATTTACTCCTCAATTCTAATAAGAAAATATATCTTTAACGATCAGTATCGATTTGTGCTATGTTATAACAGGTATGAAACAATAATCAAAGGAATTTTAATGGAAAATAAAATTAAAATAAGTAAATCTAACTCTATACTACATGAAACCATCTACATGGATTAATATACTTCTCTAAAGACAGCTTTTTTCACAAATAAGAGAATCAGGTATTTTTTTTTGTGATAACTACAAATTTTAAATTCTTATAATAGCCAAGTTTTGATATAAGTGAAATGAAATAGTTATTCATCAACAGCCTTTAACAGTCCACAGGACATTGGCCTCTCTTTAGAAAGAGGTTTTGGCCTACTATACCACGTTGGCCAGACGGGTTGGTATAGGGTTTGTGTCAAGTTTTCCTTCTCTCGGCAGTGCTGTTGTCCTGAGTAGTTCGCTCCCTTAGTCGGCTCTTACGACACCCACGGGATGAATAGAGGTGGTGACACTCTGTATTCTTAATCCGTCACCACACGGACACAAACACGGAAATAGTTATTACTGTCCGATAAAATATTCAGTCAATAGATAAGAGAACAGTATATGACCGATCGACCAAATTATGGACATTCGACTGATATCTGTTTCATCTCTCACCTAAGTAAATACCTTCACTTGTAATATTACAGTATAGTTACAGTATATTAGTAGGTATAGTTAGCTAAAACTACAAAGTCTAGAAAGCCTTTGTGAGGCCTAAATAATCAGTTAGATGTGTCAAAGAAATAGCATTTATTTTTGTGAATAATGGTTTTTTACACGCTTTATACTCGTGTTAGCTTCACTTGTATGTTTGTATGTTTGTTTGTAACCGACTCCTTTGGGCGTGCATGGCTGATAGGAAGTTCAGTCGCGAGCGCACTCCAAGCCGAGGTACCTGCGGACCCCTCGGTTGGGTTAAAAACTTACGCTTGCCCGGGTAATGGGGGATCTCTGCCCGGGTGGACCTTTAGTTCTCCCCCACTCGTGGGATTTATCATGGAAAACATTACCAAAAACCTAAAGAAAACGATCGGACAAACACAACGAAAACAGGCAAGCCTAACGGAAAAGGAAGCAAACCGAAGGAAGGAGAAACAGAACAGTGGAGCGGATGGGTCGTCCACTGAGGGTGAGGTGGCCCACTAAGTGCGCAGAGCTGCGCATCTCGGGCCTGGACGACTCTGTGACGGCCGAAGATGTCCGCGCTGTAATCCAGGAGAAGACGGGGTGCAGCGCGGACAACGTCAGGGTCGGCACCATCCGCCCCGGTCCAGGAGGGCTTGGCGCCGTGTGGGTCAGCTGTCCCGTAGCGTCGGCCAAAGTATTGGCCGACGCCGGCAGGCTGCTCATCGGTTTCGTGAGCGCCAGGATCACAGTCCTGGCGGCGAGACCGATGAGATGCTACAAATGCCTAGCATCGGGACACACGCGCGTCAAGTGCGACAGTTGTTTTGACTGCGGCGGACTGTGTTTCCGCTGCGGTCAACCGGGGCATAAGGCGGCAGAATGCTCTGCCGCCCCTCACTGCCCAGTGTGTGCGGCGGGCAATAAGCCCGCCAATCACCAGATGGGGCAGAGAGGCTGCAAGCCTCCCCGCAGTTCTCGGCAGACGTCGGGGGTTAGCCAGTCGACCCAGGCTGCCTCCGATGTAGTTCGTGCGTCGACGTCGTCGCCCATGGACGAGGTTGTAGAGACGATCCAGTAATGGATCAAGTCTCCAACCTCCTGGTCCAGACGAACCTGAACCACTGTGCCGCGGCGCAGGATCTCTTCCTGCAAACCATGGCACAGTGGTCGATAGGTGTTGCCGTAGTCGCGGAGCCCTATTCTGTCCCTCCCCGTCCAAACTGGATGGGTGACTGGGACGGCTCCGTGGCAGTCGTCGGTTCCACGACGGCTCATTCCCCGCCCTTGTCGCTAAGAGACAAGGGCACTGGATATGTTGCCGTCGAGTGGGGGGGGATCACCATATATGGTGTCTATTTCTCCCCCAACCGGAGTTTGAACGACTTCGAGGTTTTCCTAACCAGCTTGGAGACCTCGATACGGCGACTAGCGTCTGGGCACGTCCTTGTGCTGGGGGACTTCAACGCAAAGTCCATTGCGTGGGGTTCCCCCAGGACGGACGCCAGGGGCGAGGCCGTAGAGGAGTGGGCGGCCTCGGTGGGCCTCTGTCTTCTAAACAGAGGCTCCACCAACACGTGCGTGCGACAGCAGGGGGGGTCGATAGTGGACCTCTCGTTCGCTACCCCTGCCCTCGCCGCACGAGTAAGGAACTGGCGTGTCCTGGAAGAGGTTGAGACGCTCTCGGATCACCTGTATATCCGATTTGAGCTCTCCCGGACCCAGGACTCCAGTAGGGGTCACGTGGCGCGGCGTTTATCCCGCTTTCCGCGGTGGGCTGTTGCCAGGCTGAACCGGGACCTACTAGAGGAGGCAGCCATAATTCACTCGTGGCTGTCTCCTCAGGCTCCGACCGAGGAGATCGACGTGGGGGCTGGCCGCTTTCGCGATGCGATTACGCATGTATGCGATGCGGCCATGCCCCGCGTTCGAGGTCGTCGGCCTCCAAGGAAGGAGGTCTACTGGTGGTCCCAGGAGCTGGCGGACCTCCGTGCGGCCTGTACACGTGCCCGGAGGTCCTACACGCGCAGTCGGCGGCGTCACCGTGGAGACGGTGAGGAGGACCGGCTTCATGAGGGGTACCGACGGGCGCGGAAAACTCTGAAGCTGGCCATTAGCCGCGCCAAAGAAGAAAAAAGACAGGAGATGCTGGAGGGTCTTAATCGTGACCCCTGGGGTCGCCCTTACCGCGCGGTGCGACAAAAGCTCCGCGCGTCGGGCCCCCCCCTTACGGAGACTCTCCAGCCCAGCTTCCTGCGAGAAGTGGTTGAGGGCCTTTTCCCACAACGGGCGGAACACACTCCCCCGTCGATGGCCTCCTTGGCCGGAGACGACGGGGAGCACGGGGAGGATAATGTTCCGCCCGTCCGGGAATCGGAGGTAGGGGCGGCTGTTCTACGGATCCGTTCCAAGAACACCGCCCCTGGGCCAGACGGGGTACCGGCCCGAGTGCTGGCCCTGGCCCTCAACCACATGGCAGACCGCCTAGGGGAGGTGTTTGCCGCTAGCTTGGCGTCGGGACGCTTCCCTGAGTGCTGGAAGAGCGGGAAGCTGGTCCTATTGAGGAAGCCGGGACGGCCTGCCGATTCGGTCGCGGCCTATAGGCCCATCGTGCTGCTGGACGAGGCGGGCAAATTGTTTGAGAGGGTTCTTTCTGCCCGCATCGTCCGGCACCTCTGCGAGGTGGGCCCCGATCTGTCGGACGCCCAAT